TATTTACCTTTACAATTCCTTTGTCCTGAAAAAGGTAAAACGGAACATTTACAATATTAGCATACTAAAATGTGAAATATTTGTGTAATTAAATATATATGTAATACTATAGGGGTTGTTTTAGTTCTATGAAAGATTTTTCTGTTTAATATATTGAAGTGATTAAACTAATGGGTGACAACGAGAAATGGACTAAATAAGTATTTTGCCAGATTCAACATTCTTAGACTAACTGACTGGCAGTTATGTCAGTATACGTTTCTGGAAGAAGGGGGTTACTTTCCTTCAGACATCTGGTGCACAGATCAGTACAATTAAATAGAATACTGTTGACGTAAATATGTGCCTATACAAAACACTTACCCACAAATAGCAATTGTCTCGCCCTAATAGCTGACGCATCTTTACTTTCTATATAAGAAAGAGCGAGGTTATAAATTTCCCTTCAGACAACATTCGGAGTTCCTAGTGGAACATCATACCCACAGCCTCCTCTGCGTACAGGTCGGTCGAGATCGCCATGTAGACTTAGAAAGAAGAGCGTAATGCTGCAAAACACAAGCTAGGGGATAGAGAACTTATATTTAATGTCATATCTGTGTGTGTAGTTTCCTGTATATAACCGTTGTATTATGGAATGTTATAAAGATATAAAAACCCAGTTAAACCCACAAAGTCTTCTGGAGTCAATTATTGATCCTTGCAGTTATATACACAACGTGAAGTCACAGTTAGTTCCTAATTGATCGTAGTGTCATAGGCTGTGTTTGGGAGTTCGTGACCAGGATAGTCATATCTGTCCCCGTAGTGTCACATATAGATAAAACTAATATTGAGATGCAACCGAATTTATGTTTGACACGTTAAGCCAAATATGAATATCTTTAGTGAACATACAGATTTGCTGTAAGTCTGTGGAAACCAATGTGATCGTATTGAACTTACCTCAAAACTAATCAAAATAAAATAACAGATCAAAATATTACTCATATTACGATGACGTACTAACCTTGAATAACTCTCCTATTACGATGACGTACTAACCTTGAATAAACCTCATATAACGATGACGTACTAACCTTGAATAACCCTCCTATTACGATGAAATACTAACCTTGAATAACCCTCATATTACGATGACGTACTAACCTTGAATAACCCTCATTTTACGATGACGTACTAACCTTGAATAACCCTCATATAACGATGACGTACTAACCTTGAATAACCCTCATATGTCCAGTTAAAACCATTATAAACACACCAAGTGAATACATATATACAGGTACTGTCTTCTGTTCCATTTTCATATACTCTTTAATCTTCTTATATTAATTCAACAGGTAGAAATATATACTATAATTGAACAGACATGTTTGTATGTTAATTCAACAAGTAGACAATTAGAAATACATATTATAATTAAACAGGAATATTTTAATATTAATTCAACAAGTAGAAATACATATTATAATTAAATAGACATGTTTTAATATTAATACAACAAGTAGAAATACATATTATAATTAAACAGGCATGTTTTAATGGGGAATGCTGCAGTAACAAAATGGACGAAAATCACCATGGTGACATAACTTACGTGAGATATCTTTCCTAGTTTACTGCATGAACGTGTCTAATGACTACGGTCCTCACACGAAAATATCTCTAAAAAATGTTTAATAGTTAGTCCTTTATACCACCTCTCCTTACGACAGTATCCAACCTTAAATCCTCCCTTGATCAACAATATGAATTTTGTATATATTTACACTAACAGGTAAACATCCTGGTCAGGTACAAGTATGTCATAACTTTAATGATAGCCATACAATAGTAAGTAGTAGTTTAGACAGATATATAAATAGATAACAAAACAAGTGGCTCGCCCCACAACTCTGAGCGTCGACAGTTGAAATCATACAAGGGTTATGTTCATTGCTAATTAGATAAGCTTCATTATAGAGTAATTTGGTTCTTATTTAATTGGAATGTAAAATATGAATTACTCTTTGATTTATTTTTTAAATCGTCCTGACATAAATCGGTGATGAATAAAATATGATTAAATTACAGTGTAACGCCAAAATCATAAAAAATAATCTAATCTAAATTGTAATCTAATTTAACTTAAAGGAGCTAAATTGCTAATATTTGAGACGTAGAAATGGACACCAATGGATCGCAACGCATATAATAATGTAATATGAATCTATATAAACTGATTTACAATCAGTCGTTGCTGTTTGTACTCTAATTCCAAACCAGTTATGTTCGGCGAAATACGTCAGAAGTCCCAATCGAATGGCAATCTCTAGCATCTGGTTATTCCAGTCCACACCGAGGGATTTAATTGCGCATGCTTTCCAGATAAAAATATGGCGTCACCGTTTGACAAAGGTAAAATGTTTATTTTATCTTAAATATTGGATATCAGAAGCCCATCTTTCTATGGTAAGATCACAACATCAATTTTGATTTAAATTGACAAATAATCAAAACAAGAAAGAGGTAAATCATAGAATATGCATATTACACTATTGAATAATAGGTATAAACGATTGGGTAAATTAGGTGTTTCTATAAATATGCACGTCTCTTTATGTACATGCTTATGTTTGCGCGAATAATTGTCATTTTATTATTTTGTGAACAATTTTATCCAATTTGCATATTTTCCCCCTTCTTTTGTATTTTCAGTCTATTAATATCAATAAATATAATCAGCCAGGTATTGGTTTAATCTTACATATTACACTATTTCTTTTGTAAAGAATTGTGAGGTATCTCTTAAAGATACGTTTCCGTGAACAAACTGGGTGATTTGATGATGTATTTGGACTAAAAAGTATTCAAACTAATTAATCTACCCCTACTTGAAAACATCTATTAAAAAAAGTCATGTTTGTTTCACGTGACTTAGCTGACGCACTACACAGCAACGGGTGCGAAGCCGGGGGAGAATCCATTGCATACTCAAGACGATGTTGTCTTTAATCGCTATCCATAATCATAAATATCGAAGCCTAATTAAATGCTCGGATTGTCCACTTCCCACATCTTTTTCCGTGGATTTTATATCAGAAAATGTTGTACGTTTAACCCTTCATCAAGTTTATCAACATATACATCAAGCGCTCAATCTTCGCGAGATACCTTTGACGTGACACGTGCAGACATCCTTTATCGTCCGGCTGCCGATTAGGGAAAACCTAACATTTTTGTTCTGTATGCCTTCCATGGGTGCTTTTAAGGGAATCCAGTATTTTTCTAGTAAGATTGGATATTTATAGTTCCCATATATACCACAATTGCCATTCGTTTATTGGAAATAACCCCCCTGATAAATACTTTTCTGGGAAAGTATCTTTAAAGTGTGAATTAAACTGGGGAATATTTGGCATACAAATAATAATAAAGACGCCATGCTAGATTTAGATTTATATACAGTAACATTACAGTTGAGTACATAATGTAGGAGTATAGTAAACAGTAATTATAGTTGAGTACATAGTGTAGTTTATAATGATATAGGTAGGTAGACGTGTCACATTTCTAAATTTCTTCCATGTTTACACTGTTAAACTTATTATGTAATTTTACCCTTTTTAACTGGCAGAAATATGGCCATCGTTATAACCGTATTTTAACATTGCATGTTATTTCACAGTCTGTAATTTAAAATTGCATGTTATGTCACAGTCTCGAATGTAACTTTACCTCTTGCTATTATACATCCAAGGTAAAATTACATATCTGTAAAACTACCATGATGTTAATTTTCATAAATTGGTACAATAATATTAAAAACAAAAATATATAGTGTATTTTGACAGAATGTATGTAATAATACTTCATAACTATAGTAGAATTACATATTATGTAATTTGCCAAGGTAACATTTCTAAAAGGAATATGTTTGTCCCCGCTTGGCTAATTAGTCCTAGGTTCGATCCTGGCGAGCACAGAAAGTTTTGCGGACCTTTCAGCCGAGTATGTAAAACAAAATTCAATAATGTAAAGAAATTAAATGAAATGGGGTTTAATTTCCTACTGTTCTGCTCCTTACAATGGAAAGAGTAGGTGACATGACACCGTCCAAGCAAAATGACCCACACAATCCAATCTATTGCATATGTCTGTCTTTATTAGCCAGTTCGATGCATTCAGATTTTGAATAACCTATTTCTTCTCTAAAATGGACTAAACTGACTGACAAGACAGTAAATATTTTGCACAAAATTCGATATGTAGTCGAAGGGGGAATAACCGATGTTACCACTATTCGCGAAGAAATACCCCAAACTATAAAAAAATCTATTAAAAGAAGCCACGCCTGTGTCAGGGTAACTAGCCCATTTACCATAAATATCGAAGCCTAAGTAAATTCTCGGATTATGTCTGGCCCACGTCTTTTCCCGCCGTTTTATCTCAGAAAATGTTACGTGTTTAAGTCTCACTTATTCCACGTCCGCGCACCATCAAGTTAATAATATATACATCATGCGCTCCCTAACGCAAAGAATTCAGACAACCTTTGAGTTGGTCTGTCAATTAGTAACACCCTCTCATTTTTATCCTGTGCGCGCCCCATGGGCAATTGTTAAACTTTATTTTCACACGTTTAAACAATTAACATCTGGCAGAGGCGTAGCAATGATTTATATATTGGGGGTCCGCAGTAGTCGATGTAGCACGACAAGGAGAGTGTGGGAGGGCCACCGTCCCACTGGGGAGGGGGGATGGGGAGCCACCCCTAAAAACTTTTTAAGGTTTCAGTCTTCTGTAAACACTGTTTGGCATATTTTACGGGGTTAAACTAAAACATCACACCAACATATTGGGATATGTACAGGTTTTATATAGATAGAATCTTAACTAATCCTAATAATTGTTGTAAATAAATAGGAGTTAGGGCCTACTATGTAAAAACAAAAAATTTATTGGGGGGGGGGGTGTCCAAGTATATTCCGCACCCCCCCCCCCATGTGTGACGCCCATGACATCTTGGTTTATTATATGTGGTTCCTTTCGAATTGGACGAGAGTGATGAAACTCGGAGTATAGATTCATTATATCATTAAGTTCCATGATAAAAATTTTCGCTTAGGCTAAGCACCGAAAAGCAATTTGATTGGTTAAAACTTTGAACATAACAACTCTGCTTTTAATTGAGGTAGAATTTTTAAATGTTCATTAGGTGAATGTCTTGACTAAGTACATTGATTAACATTTGCCGCTAACGCTAAGCAGAGCTAAGCAATTTCATTAGTCGATGCTTTGGGGCAAGATAGCCTTGATTCTAACTGATGGAGAGGAATGAAACTACCAGGTACTTCAAAACCTTGACTGAGTTTGATTGTGAACATTTTCGGTTTAGACTAAGTATAGATAATCAGTTTGATTGCTCGATACTTGTCAAAAAGATAAATGTGCAATTAGTTAATACGTATTATCTATTTATTTTGAGATTGTAGCGGGGGACATCAGCCTCGCTGTTGGCTTGTTACATCATTATCAAAACTGGTATATGAATCATTATACTGATAAACCACCATTTCATTTTTCCGTTTATCTGTCTGAGTTATCTCTCCTGATCGTTTATCTGTGAATGCTCTGGTAAGGATGAGGATCAGTCTCTACAGCTTCTGGACTGTCATAAATATTGTCCCCGTTCTTCTTACGTATTACACTATAATGACAAACAGGAAATGTGATATATCAAATATATTTGACTCTTCTACAATCATAAATACATACTCTTCATAGGGCTACTCTAGAACGGTACCGCTAAATATTGTAAATGACGTAAATGTTGAATTGTATCACAAGCAGATGCTGACCTAGAATTCTTTTATTAAAGATATAAGATATTTACACTTACCACACAATTATGATAATGATGACGATTATTACACCTAGTCCTCCAACAGACCCACCAATAATAACAACTACTGTAAAATATAATTTATACCTAATTGTATTGTAAACACAAAACATATTCTGACTGACTGGTCTAACCCGAGAGGTTGTTACTCGAGTCTAAATGCAATCTGAGCAAATTTTAACACCTAGCAAGGGAAACGCCCCAGAATTAACTCAAATATGTTTTGTACTACCCCCCGTAACCAGGAAAGGCGACGGATCTGATTTTTATAAGAACACACAATGATCTGTATCTAGCATTATAGTCATTTTGAATGCATTCCTCCTAAATTTCAGCTGTTTTTTTCTGTTCAGCGTTTGAATGTAAGGCACCAGGATATTGTCACCTCTTTGTATTCAAACTATATAAAATGCATAATGTGAAAAGAGGTTTGAAAATAGTTTATCAAAATATGAAGGCTGTGGATTTGGTTATAACAGTGTTATGAATATAAACCTACATTTACTTTGAGAAATATCACCATTTTCATCTGGAGATGTTAAGTTTGTGTTTTGATCAGTGACCCTGTCATCAGTGGTTGTCTCGATTGATTTTGATACCGCTGTATCTGGCATAATCTCCGTGGAAATAGTTGATGGTCTCATTCCATTAATACTTGTCCGAGCTGTATCTGACTTAATTTCCGTAGTAGTAGTTGATGATGTCATTCCATTTATACTCGATAGAATATTTAACACAACTAATCAAAGAATCGCCCTTTTTAAACAATTTAGTTTAGTATCTCTCCCCCCCCCCCAACTCATCCAACACATTGCTGGCTGAACGGTGAGATTTTATTGTAAGATAAACAAAAAAATATGGAGTCGTCAAGATATATAGTTTTAGGAAAAAGATAATTGTGTAGTTTTATAAGGTTACATCAGTCGTAGAACGTATGATGGGGTTTTGTTCACTCCAGATTACAAATTACCATGTTTCTATCAAAATATTGAATTGTGTTAGTTTCCTTACCTGGTTCTGTGGAAATCGTGAAACAAAACTGAAATCCATTGAATGGATGTTGACCCGAAGCTAGTATTATATTTAACTTATCCTGAACGGCAACATTAAAAGTATATACAGGATAATGATCCCGACAGTTGTAGATCTTGGTAGTTGAATTATGTATACAGTGTACTTCATACTGACACCCTAATGGATTGTTTGCTGTGATATTAATAGCTATGGGTCCAATAGAATAGGATACACTGACAACCTGTAACCTGTTCGTCATACGGTAAACCAGATAACCAGAATTTACGTCCTTGTTTGTCTAATGTACTGCAAATAGGACTACTGAAACCTGGAAATAAAATAATGTTGATGATTTTAAAGAGGTATAGAGTCACGCCCCCTTTAAAGGACAATATTGGTCTCCGTCAATATTACATATGTAATAGAACTGGTTAACAGATTACAAATATAATATTAACATAGAGATCTGTGATACAGTAGATATGTAAACAATATTTGAAAATAAAACGGAGTGGCGCCAAACACGAGTGATCCTTACAGCCTGAGTTAGTGAGTGATTTTGGTTGCACCAACGTTGTCTTTTAGTGAAACAGAAATAATATCCCTTTTTTGTTTCTGTTTTACTGATTGTCTTATTTGCCGAATTTACAATAATGTTATAAACAGTACTGTCACAGTATACCATATCAAGTTAGTTGATAATTATGACCCATTCTATTGGACTGTCACAGTATACCATATCATGTTAGTTGATATATGACTCATTCTATTGGGATGTCCCAGTATTACATATCAAGTTAGTTGTAGTGAATGATAAACAATAGATGTTTTTAGACACAAGTTTTGGAGATGGATCTCTCTTGACATAGGGAGTCGCGGTGGCTCAGTGAGTAAGGCGTTGGCTCGCTAGCCAGGAAGTCTCGTGTTCTATTCTGGTGCTAACCGAAGAAGTTCATTTCTGCAAAAATAACCTGAACTTTAAAGATATTTTATGTAAGATTTAGATAAAGAGCTAGCCATTCTTGCTATACAATAATTCAAAAATAGATAATGTAAAATGAATAATTTTGAATATTCCATTTCAAATACTCTATCGAGTTGCAGTTGTTCGAAGCTAAGTCGCGCTCCTCCATTTTTAAATTAGATTAAAATACAGCTGAACCGTTCTAATCTATTTAATATTGGAGAAATCCCATGCCATCGAGAGTTGATTATGGCCTGGATCAGTTAATTAATGTCTAATTAATAATTTAGATACCATTTCAGGCCCAAAGAAAGACCTGCAATAGGCAGATTTAGCTCTTGCATAATGTATGTTTAAGTCAGTGTGTAATTCTGGAGGTTTTAATTTTCATACGTTCAATGGTCAAGTCTTAACTGTTTTTTGTTGAACACATAATACCTCTCTCGTTGGCAGATTTCACATAGCTAACATGATATTAAGGACGTTATATATGATGTCAGATGTTTAATGTAAATAATTCTTTACCTCTACAATTTCTTTGTCCTGAAAAAGGTAAAAAGAATACAATAATTGACATTAATAAAATGTGAAGTATATTCAAATACTTTTGTTACACTACGAGCTGTTTTTATAACAACATATATTGTCAATTCCGATAAATGGTACCTACTGGACAGGGGCGGGGTGAAGGTGGGGTGGGGGTAGTACGTTCACCGGAGAACAAATACCCAACACGGGACAGGCTCATCGTACCAGGCCACACACAGAGGCAGCCGTGGAAACGAAAAAAAAAATGTATAATTCCATTTTAAAAATATCGCTATATGACAATATTGATTCAGCATATTTTAGCCCCAGGGCTAAGAAGTAGTTTTGATAATTTTGAGGCTACATATATATATTTCAGCCCATCTTACTATGTTAAAATAAACATTTGTTTCCATAGCTACTGGATGTGGCGTCAGCTTCCAAATATCTGACAAATATGCAGATCCTAGGCTTAAAATATTAATGTATTTTGATTAAAGATAAGTAAAGTACAGGCTAAAATAAATCAATAATTTCAATGGCTATTGACATTTTATTTCAAAAATAACACTGTCGTTGGATTTTGTGTTAATTTGTTAGTTTATAATGTTATATAGATTGATAAAATCAGTATTCGAGATACAACACCTTTAGCCAAATATGAAAATAGATTTAGCGAACAGAAAGACTTGTTGTAAATCTGTGGAAACCAATATGATCGTATAATAATAATAATAATGTACATTTATATAGCGCTTAATCCATCCATGAGCATGCTCTAAGCGCTGTAAGTTAATGGCTTCTGTGGATAATACATCGTGAACATATGCGTCTTAAGTCTAGATCGAAATTGAGCAACTGTTTCTGAACACTTTATTTTGTCAGGTAAGTCATTCCATAGTCGTGGACCATATACACTGAAGGCTTTATCACCAAAAGATTTTAATTTAGTTGAAGGTACAACAAGTGATAGATTATTCTGTGAACGGAGTGGTCGGTTTGGTACATAAGGCTGCATAAGATCTGTGATATAGGATGGAGCTGAATCATGCTGAGACTTGTAGACCAGTGTTAAGATTTTAAAGTTTATACGACCCTCTATTGGTAACCAGTGGAGCGATTTAAGGACATATGTTATATGTTGACGTTTTGCTGTTCTTGTGATGATTCTGGCACAGTTGTTCTGAATTATTTGAAGTCGCGTTAATAAATGTTGAGATATTCCAGCCAAGGCACTATTACAATAGTCCAATCTTGAAAAAATTAGAGACCGCACCAAAAGATGACACCTCAAAACTAATCAAAATAAGCCAACAGTGAGGCTGATGTCCCCCGCCGAAATCCCCAAATAAATAAATGACACATATTAATTAATCGCACATCTATTTTTTTCCAAAGTATCAAGCAATCAAACTGATTATCAACTATACGCTAAGTTTCATCACTCTCTATCAGATAGAATCAAAGTTATCTTGTCCCAAAGCAGGAAATTGCTTATCTCTGCTTAGCTTTAGCTCGATATGTTAATCATTGAACTCAGTCAAGACGAACATCTACATCAAGTTTAAACATTCTACCTCAATTAGAAGAAGAGTTGTTATGTTCCAAAGTATTGACCAATCAAACTGCTTATTGCTCGTTAGCCTAAGCAGAAAATTCTCATCATCAAACTTAGTCAAGTTATTGATGTAATGAAACTATACACCAAGTTTCATCAATCTCACTTAATTAGAACCAAATTTATCGTGTTCCAAAGCATCAACCAGTCAAATTTCTTATCTCTGCTTACCCTAAGCCGAAAATGCCGATCTTCGCACTCCATCAAGGCATTGACCTCATAAACCCCTACACCAAGTTTGAACATCCAAGCTTAATTAGAAGGAGAGTTATTGTGTTCCAAAGTCTCGGCCAATCAAATTGCTCATCGCTCTGCTTACCCTGAGCAGAAAATGCTCATTATCCAACTTAGTCAAGTTTCATCTTTCTCACTTAATTAGAACTAAAAATGAAAACATCCTGTGGTCCTGACAACATCAATAATATTATTCTGAAAACCGTAGCCAATTCTTTTAGTAATCCCCAATCCAAACTTTTTAACATTTTAATAGAAAATTGTATTTTCCCAAACTGCTGGAAAGAAGCTAATATAGTTCCGATATATAAGAAAGGCGATATTCATGATTGTTCTAATTATAGGCCTATATCTCTTCTCAGCTCGATTGGAAAAGTATTTGAAAAAATTGTATACAAACATATTTTTAATTTTACTCTACGCCACAATCTTATAACCCCTTTACAGTCGGGCTTTCAACCAAATAATTCTTCCGTTTACCAATTGATTGAAATGTATGATTATATATGTAGAGCCATCGACAATGGACATGAAGTCAAATCCATCTTTTTTGATATAAGTAAAGCATTTGATCGTGTTTGGCACGAGGGCCTTTTGCATAAACTAAATTCGGTAGGTATCAGAAATAATACTCTAAAATTAATCGAAAATTATTTATCTAATCGAAAACAAAAGGTGCTAATTGGTGGCCAGAGTTCTTCTCTTCAAAATATTACCTCTGGGGTACCCCAGGGTTCCATTTTAGGTCCGTTACTATTCCTTATTTACATAAATGATATTGTAAATGACATTGAATCTAATATACGCTTGTTCGCTGACGACACTTCTCTTTTTTTAATAATAAATAACCCTAAAGATGCACAAGCCATTCTAAATAGAGATATTGAAAAGATATTTCAATGGTCAATTAAATGGAAGGTGGATTTTAACCCATCAAAAACTGTAAGTTTAACCTTTTCAAGAAAATTATCACCCTCAATCTTTAAATTATCGCTAAACAACTCAGATATAAACGATGAAATAAGCCATAAACATTTAGGCCTTCTTTTCAGTAAGTCGTGTAACTGGGATATGCATATAGATTACCTTACGTCGAAAATAAGCAAACTGATAAATTATCTGCGAAGTTTTAAATACCGTCTAAAACGAAAAACATTAGAAACTATATATAAGTCATTCATTCTTCCAATTTTCGATTATGCAGATTGTGTATGGAATAACTGTTCTAAAGACAAATCAACCCAACTTGAAAAACTCCAACTCGACGCCTTGCGTACTATAACCGGTCTTCCACGTGGTACCTCTCATAATATACTTTATACGGAAACCGGAATATGCCAGCTTCAACTAAGACGCTATCAACATAAAATGATACTTTTCTACAAAATTTTAAATGGACTAGTTCCTAAATATCTAACCGATATAATCCCACCTCTTGTATCCGCCGACCAACCCTACCGTCTTCGTAACTCAAACCAAATTAAGCAAATAAACTGTAGAACATTACTATACCAGAATTCTTTTTTTCCTTCCTCTGTTAAACAGTGGAATGATCTAAGTCATCAAATAAAAAATTCCAAAACTATTTCTGAATTCAAAACTAAATTAAAATCAGGCATGCGCTTAATCGAAACAAATGCTCACTACTATATAGGCGAAAGACATCTACAGATAATACATTGTAAACTACGAAACTCAAAGAGCGACTTAAACCTTCATAAGTGTTTGATGCACATATCGGAAAATCCCTCATGTTTTTGTGGTCAAGGTGTCGAAGACTGTGAACATTATTTC